AGTGAAATGCTACTTTTGTTATTACACGATTTAAACGATAAATGATAGCATAGATAGATTATATAGACTCCCGAAAGTTTCCCACAAACTTTAAAAAAAAGTGGTTGCCATGGAAATGGCAGCCACCTTGAAAATAAACACCTCTTTTTAGTCTTAGTTTTAACACTTCTCTCTCGAACAAAGGAAATCAACATTTCGACGTTTTCCCACTTCCCTAGTGCTTCCATGCTGCTTCCTTCCTTTGAAGTAGATTTGGCGGGAAATGAGCCCCACCCACTTCCCGAAGAATTCGGGTGCTGAAGAAAAAAGTTTCGCTCCTTCGTGCGAACCAAAATCTTCGCATGCGAATTTCGGACTCGGCCATGCGAAATTCCTGTATATGGATTTACACAATGACAAAAAGGTTGGTGCGAAAAAAATAGTTTGCACCCGAAATTTGCATCGGTTTTTCGGGCATATGGAATGTCAGCTTACTACTAAATCTAGATCTAATCTGAGCCTAGATATTATAAACACAGACTACACATTTTCAAATTGAAGAAGAGTAGATCTACCTATCTAGTTAGTCTACAGTCTATGTCATAAGTACTACTAGATCTAGATCTAGAATCTAGATCTAGATCAAGAATCTAGATCTAGATGGATCAACGAACCTGTCGACATATATGATAAGTTCGTCTTAAATAACGGTGCTTGCCTCTAGATCTAGATTCTCCCATCATACTAATTAACTTAACTAGATCTAAATATATATCAGTAGGATCCAGATATATTTGACACTGGCTTGTTGACCTCGATCCAAAGGTCAAAAGTTGTTTTTTTGCAGTCCCCCAGTGCACAAAGCAGAGCTAGGGGACTGCACAGTAGGGGACTGTACTGTCCCCTAACAACTTCCTGTTTAAAATCTCTCTATTCTTACAATCTTATTTTACTGTATAAACTAAAAGTCATTTTCTGAGCTTGTGGTGAACAAATGATTTATTTCTTAGTTTACGATCTCATAAACTAGTAATTCATTCTTTCATTCTTTTTCCATCCATCCATCCACCCATCCATCCATCCATCCACCCATCCATCCATCCATCCAACCATCCATCTATTCATCACCTCATTGATTGATTGATTGATTAATTGATTCATTCATTCATTCCTTTCAAGAAGAGCGCGGGCTATGTCCCGATGCAGCATGACTGGTCCCCCCGAGCACTGCTCACGTCTCAGGTCGTCGTGGAGCAGCGGGAAGGTGAGCTCAACGGTCTCAACCCTTGACCCGAACACCGAACAGTGCTATACATGTAGAAACATAGACGGGTTCGGACGAGGAGTGATTAATTTCGTGCGTTTTTTGAGGGGTCCGTGGG